CTTGCCTGAGGCTTCTCGGCTCTCTCTCACTCTTTGATTGGCTTGTGCGGCTCGGCTGAGGCTTGGCTCCGGGTGGTTGAAAACATGGCTTTCATGGCTTATTTCTGTGTAGCTTTTTACGCTTATTTTTATCTGTAAATAATTAAACAAAAACTAGACAAATTCCAATTAAAAATATTATGAATAAAAATAATAGAATTGTTTAATTAAAGCTTAAATATTTTAAAATTATATAAATCAAAAGCAGTATTTAGGGTGCATTTTCATGCACTAATCAGCCCCCATTAAAGATATTTTTTTTTCCAAAAACCAATGCACACAAAAACTGTAAACTCAATCTTCAATTGTCTTGATAATAATTTTATAATATATAACATTTTCAAGACATGAAAATCTGTATGGGACACTAAAAAAGAAAAGCTATATGGGACAATTCTAAGGCATTATTAGAATTTATTTTGATTAAATTTTGTTTTAGCTGTTATAGAATGCCCTAATATAACAACTGTTACTACTGATTCTGTCACTACTTATTTTGATTTTCCTTTTTCTTCTACTGCTGCCTCATAAGTTTTAGTAATCATAATAATTAACAGTTGTTATATTAGTGCATTCTATAATTGCTGATCAAGATAATTATGAAAATTACTTGCAATAAGTATTAACATAGCAGTTATAGGAAAGAAAATATTCAAACTAATGATACCCAAAACATAATCCTTTTGAAAAGTATGGTAGGATTGATAAGTGAAAAGTAAGAATTTTCTTTTTAATTTTTCAATAGATAAAAAATTTTCAGTTGTAAAAAGAAGGTATAATGTAAATTCAAAAAACTTGCAAAAAATTTAGAAAAAGTTAATTGACACAAATACTCCCTAATTAACTTTTGTTTGGTTGATGAGAAAGAGATGCAAAAAAAGAAGCCAAATGGCCTCTTTTTATGATTTTATGGATGCCCATTGGAGCTAATTAACGTGAATAACCGATCACAGTACACAGTATATAATTCATGATCCTATGAGAAGAAATTCTGCATATGAATTGAGGAGCTTTGTTAATATTCTTTCTTTTGTTTTCGGGTTATTTTGGAGAGAGCAACTTTTAGGAATCACGGTTTACATGGGATGTGGAAGGAAAAAGAAAAATCATGTTTATTGGCTTGGATTAACAAAGATTATGTTTTGTTTTAAATTTTTCGATCAGAACTTATGGGTTCAATGTTTCAATCTAATTGAGCTGTTCTCTATGCTGCAGTGGTCTTATCTTAGTTTTTGGTTGACATAACATGCATTTCAAATGGCCTGTTAAGAGGCCATTTTATAGTTGAATTTTCAATTGGGTTTGTTTTCTTTCACGCATTTGTTTAAACTTAAATTTACATTTTCAGTAAATTGATTTACTTCTATGGAGCCATAGCCTTTCAATGGATTTAATTTTTAATTTATCTCAATTATATCCTTCTTTTTATCTCAGGCTGCTGGGTTCCAGAGGGATGTTCGAAAGCCTGAAGACGCGAAACGAGTTGTGGAATCGACTTTTCAGCATTTTGGTAGGCTTGACATACTTGTGAATGCTGCAGCTGGGAATTTTCGTGTCTCGCCAGAAAATTTGTGCCCTAATGGGTTTCGAACCGGTTGGGTGTTGTAAATGTTGTCAACATATTTTTTTTTACTTCTTTTTGCAACTTACTACGGGTTAGTATATATATATATATATTTATATATATTTGGAATAGATTATAATATTAATATATATATATATATATTTCGAATAGAGTATTAATCATTGAAAGCCTGAGAATTGCGTTCTGGTAAAAGCTGGAGAATTCAAATTTTGTTGATTAGGAAAATCATATTAAGGTAAAAAATGAAGTGTAATTGAGCGTGTCATTATGAAGAAGTTCCAGCACACGTGAATAAACATTTCTTTGGTCAACCGAGCCTCATCACTGTTTCATTCTTATATTTGTTTTATTTTTTATTTTTTGTTTCCTATAAACTACTTGCTCGCTTGAAAGTTGACAAAATCATTTTGTTTACTCTTTTATTGATGGTCTTTGAACCTTTATAGCAGACTTCTCATCAGTAACTTGCAATTAAATTTGTGTATTCCTTTTAGTTTTGGACATCGATGCTGTTGGTACGTTCACAATGTGCCATGAAGCACTCAAGTATCTGAAGAAAGGAGGGCCAGGAAGGAGCTCATCTGATAGTGGTGGAGTAATATTCAACATCAGTACCGCTACCTTAGATTATACAGCTGCGTGGTACCAAATTCATGTGTCTGCAGCCAAGGTCGGGTTTACATTTTTAGATGCAGCATAGATCTATTTTCCTCATTGAGTTTCGTCTTTAAATTTCTCGTCGCTGCAGGCGGCTGTTGATGCTACAACAAGAAACTTGGCATTGGAGTGGGGAACTGACTATGATATTAGGGTCAATGGGATTGCGCCTGGTCCTATTGGTGACACTGCTGGAATGAGTAAACTCGCGCCTCAGGAGATAAATAGCAAAGCTAAAGACTACATGCCCTTTTACAAGTTAATTAGGAGAGAAATGGGATATTGCAATGGCTGCTCTCTGTCTCTCTTCAGATGCAGGTCAGTAGTGGCTTCACTCCCGTATGCGGATGCATTCCTATTTGCATGGCACTATTTTCCAATCCTCGCCAAGTATAGAGGACGTGCTTACTAACTTGTAATATAATGTAATGGGAAAGGGAAACGTGTTGGAAAGTAAAAGAAACGGCATAATTAAGAAAGAGGATCGTTGATTCCTTTTCTGGTTTTCATTTACCTGCATATCATTATTGGGTAGATTTATTAAAGTATACTTTTGTGGTTTATTCCAATGAATAGGCATGAATGGGAAACATTTCTGCGGCTAGTAGACATGCCCAAAAAGAGTGGAACTCTGATATCGTATACATAATTCTAGGTGTTGTTGAAGCTTGAATTTGATTCTCTAAGTTTGGATAGGTATATTTAAGAGTGCAACTAAACAATTTATTTTTATTTTTTTTTTATTTTTTATTTTTTTGTGGGGGTGTGTGAACCATGCAGGTAAATACATCAATGGAACTGTTATGGTAGTTGATGGAGGACTCTGGCTGAGCCGCCCTCGCCATCTACCGAAAGAGGAAGTTAAAACAGCTTTCAAGATCTGTGGAGAAGAGGTCTAGAGATGCACAGGTAGGAGTCGCAAGAAGCAAGATATAAGCACAGGATGAAATCATATTGTATGGGTAATGCCAAAACCCACGCCGAAGGCTGCAAAACTTAGCTAGTCAAATAGCTACCATAAGTATTTCAAGAAAGGACTTTGATGCCTAAATAGTTAGTTTATTGGCTCATTAAGATTTTGGATATCTGTTGCTGTACGTTGTTTGCAACACTTAAAACAGTAGCAATCAGAAATTCAGAATACCTTTTTTTATTTCTTTTACCAGAAAACTTTATTATCAATTGCAAAGGAAAAGGAATAATTACCAATCAAATACAAAACTGGCATGAAGCATCGTCAAGCCTCATCTGAACATAATATAAGATTAACGATCGTCTACATTTCGCCTTTTGCCTATAAAGAATACTGCAAACGCTTGTGTGTTGGGGTAATTGCAAATTCTCTCCTATATATTAAAAATGATCTTCTATAGTTATCTTAACTTAAGATATATAAAAATTAATAATAACTTAAAATTCTTATATATTTCTAAATTTAGTCTTACAATTGAAGAAAAAGATTAATTTAAAATTCTTAGCTATATATTAAAAATGATCTTCTATAAAAAAAACAAACAAAACAAACACATATATTGTCTATTAGTTATACTTTACTATATTAACCAAGAGTAATACGTAGAAGTCTATTATAAAAACACAAAAGCACACGAGCAAAGCTCTCTGTTAATAGCAAAGCTCTCTGTTAATAGTCTTTAATTACGTGGCTTGGTAACACAGGATATGTTCATTTGCAACCATTGCTCGTTTGTTATACACCTGAAGAAAGATATTGTTAAACTAAAACACAACTACTCTTTTTTGTAAAATTTAAGATCCACAAACACATGCCCACTTAAGTATGTTTTGATTGAGAATAGTGTTAGCATTTTTCTCATGAGAAATATGCTTGGTATAATTGTCATTTAATTAACTTGTGTAGTAAGTTGACTTCAAATCTGATTAATTTTATTAAGAAATCTAAAAGTTAATTAAGAGGCTAAGTTCAAACTGGCTAACTAACTCCTCTGGGCCTTATAAACAAATGGGATATGCTAATTAAGTTAGATTTGTTGGTAAGGAATTAGATGAAACTTCTGAATGTTTCTCAAATACACCATTTTGAATATATTACCTCCTGTAGCTTAGATATTAATAAATGTCTCAACTGATTTTTGCGTGAATAATTTGCTAATTAAGACTTATTATTCTCCAAGGAAGTAAGTAAAAAAAAAAAAAAAAAAAAAAAAAAACGGTTAAGACTTAAGATCAGTAAAGATTCACTAGGGGCCAACATAACTAGGGAAGCAATCATTTTGTTCTTTAGATGGATCTACGGCACGTATGTTTATACTGGACTCGATACGGACTAAAAATTCTGGAATTGTAGCCCGAGTAATCTACACACTCCAACATAGCATTTTGCAAAATTTAAGATAGGCATCGGTACCCTTTTTCGAGAGTAAGATCAAACTTAAAATCAAAGAAATAATATGCAAATACTCAAAAAAAAAAAAAACAGAAATAAATATGAAAATATAACAACACTCTTATGACCATGACGGAGAACTATATCTATGACAATATAGTTATTGCTTAACTACAACAAACTGTTTGCGTATCTTTTTATGAAATTTAGAATCATAATAGTTGTCTTGACTGCCTATTTTTGAAACTAAAAGAAATATAAGTGATTATTTCTTAACAGCGCACAACTCACTTTATCCCCCACCACATCATATTATATATGCGAAAAACATACGGTTAACTCGCAATTAATTTACTATATGAAAGGAAACAAGAGAAGTTCTAACATCAGAAGCTTCCAAAGGAATTGATAAAAATTTGTGCTTGCTTCCTGCATACATAATAATGTTAAATTTGTGATCAATATCAATAATTTATTAATCATTAGGATAACATGTAGTTGAGTTGAAGGTCCATATTTTATAATTACCATGACATAATTTGCTTTTTCCAACTTTCTCGCCTGAAAGAAAACAAGAAGAGAAGTTAGTAAGAGAGCTTTTAATTATATTTCATTAAATTTCTTAATTTATATATGTCGAACCTCAAAAAGTAACCATAAGGCAAAGATTGAATGAGCAGGCAACATTATGTAAGACTTGAAAGCCTGTAGATAATAAATGAATAAAAGCGTTAATTAATCTCCACATCATAAATAAAGACCGGTTGAAGAGAGAAAATAATAATAAAAAATCTTCGATCGAATATTTTTTAATCAATTATTGGAAACAATTAAATGAACTAATTAATTAGTAATTTACTTTAATAAATCATTGAGTTACAAGAAATAAAGGGAAAATCTAGTAACACCTAAATTAAAAAAAAAAAAGAATTATATAGTAAACCGTTGAATATAATTACCTGAGGCATGTAAATGGCAGCTACTATAGCACCAGCATAAGTTAGCAGTATAATGCTCGTTCCAAGAAATGCAATTTTTTTAGGTCCGAATTGCGCCGCAAATGTTCGAATGTTATACCTATAATGGTTAATTTTTTTTGGAAGGTAATAAATGTATAAGCTAAAACATATTTTTAAACTTAAAAAGCGACTAATGTAGAAAATTTTGAAAATTTAAGTTTACTACTTACTTCGTGTCACCTTCAATGTCTGGGATATCTTTTATGAGAAAAATTACAGACAAAAACAAAGTAGAATAGGTAACGATGAAAACGTTTGGGGGGCTGCAGGGCAAATTGGAAGTCAAACGTGAGATAAAGTTGGATAGTCAAATAAGTTATTCGAACACAAAATAAATGTTACACTTGTAAGTTTTTAGTGATGAAACTACATGGTGATATAATATTTTAGGGCTCATTTGGTAACATTTTCAAAATGATTTTGTTTTCAATACAAAAGTAAAAATGAGATTGTTTTGATAATTATTCTGGGACCGATTTTGAAATTGCGTTTGGTTGGTTTTTTAAGAGATTATTTTGAGTATAATAAAAAAGTGAAATCGTGTTTGATTATAATTATTAATTAATATATCATAACATTGTTGATAAATACTAGAAAATGAAAACAGAAAAGGGAAAACAACTTTCAATCGTTTTCTAATTTCTTCACAAAAACCATTCTCACTGTTTTTTGATTTCGTTTTCATTTTCAAAACATTTGCTCATTAAACACGGTTTGCATACCGTTTTCATTTTCATGCTTCAAAAGATGTAAAAACGTTTTTAAAAACAAGTAAAAATCAATTCCAAACATGAAAACGTTGAACGGTAGTTGGCTAGTTGCTTCACATGTTTTCTACGACATCATCTCTCGTTGAGCATCAAAAATCAATGTTGTAATTATTAAGATATTATCAAGCTTATATCATATGACACCTTCATTGATTTTATAATTATTAAGCAATAACAACTTGAGAATTAACTTGGTTTTATAATTGATGGGAACTCAATTAATTGGATAGAGGTAATATTCTCTTCCACAAATCACAATTAGCGTTCGTTTGAGTTCAATTCAATAGTTTTGATAGAAGTAATATTCTCTTTTACAAATCACAACTAGCGCTCACTTGAGTTCAAACTAGTAGTCATGATTATAATTTTGGAAATTTAAATGTTTTAAAAGAGAAAAATATTGTAGCAGAATCAAAATCGTAATTTTAGTATATGTGTTCAAACCAATCTTATAAATAAATCGAATTAAAATTTTTTGTGCCTTAATTAGTATCTGACTAATCTTATTATAACATGTTACTTAATAAACTTGAACGTTACAACATGCGAACATTTGATAAAGTATCCAATATACGGGCCCATTCCATATGTGAATTAAGGGAAAGAAGAAATTTACAGGTCCATCATAAATCTAAGAGCAATCTTATATATGACGATAGAAATAAATTCACATGAGATACACGTGCTGGTTCCTCCTAGTGAGGCAACGCACGACCCACTCATATGCCTAACGGGCATTTATTCCGATCGAGTTCAAACGTATTTTTCAGGATCTTATCTTAATAAAATAAAATAAGAAAGGTCCCAATAAAAATTTGAATGAAAATTATTTATTAATTAATAAGATAATATGCCAAAAGTTAATTTGAAGGAGAAAGAGCTAGGTATGAAAGGTAAATAAATAAAGAGCAATCGTTACGCGTACCTCCACTGGAATGGAAGCCCAAGAGAAGTTATGGTGGCGTAGAGTACACCAATATAGTTACAAATACTCGACTGCATATATAATCAGCTAATTTCGTTATACAAATTATCACATTTTTTCACTAAAGAAAGATATAAAATAGTAATGGGAAAGAGAGAATTATTTAATATAAATTATAGAAAACAGCTACATCACAAAGTATACTCTACTTCTATATTCTAGCACAACAGATTAATTAATAAAATCCGTCTCATAAGGTGTTTCTGAGAACATAAAAAGAATTTTACGCGATAAATGTTATATATTGATTGATCTCAAACTATATTTTTCAAATTATTATTAGTAATACATTTTTCCTGTCATTTTTAACTTTTAAGGGCTATTATACATCTAACAACCTACAAATATAAATAAATTAAAACAAAAATTCATTATAGGATTTTGGATGGAAAGAAATTAGTAATACCAAAGAAAGCAAAATAGCTGTTAAAACAGGATCTCTCTTCACTCTAAATGGAGGAACAGAATATAAAGTCGCCGCTAAAACCCAAACACCATAGAGACAAGTAGTGATTAGGTCGGCGTTCATCAACCGCAAAATCAATAGGCCAGTAGATACAGAAAATATCGTCACAGACCATGCTTGTTTTAGAGAAAAATCCATTCAGCAACCGCAAAATCAATAGGCCAATAGATACAGAAAATATCGTCACAGACCATGCTTGTTTTAGAGAAAAATCCCCTGCTGGTAAGGGTAAATAAGGTTTGTTTATCCTGAACATGACATAAAGAAAAAATAAATTAAAACGTTTTCGCCACAGATAAAAAATAATAATAATAAAAGTAAGAGAAGTTTTGCACATCCTGCACGTAATAACAAGCACCAAGGACACCCAACAAATTGTATGGGTATTTAGAGACTTTTATTAGTGTGATTCTTTTAACTGTCATTTTGATTAAGATGTTGTATTAAGTTTAACTGATTGTTTTACAATACAATCATCAGCTAATGCGTTGATGAAAATATATATACATATATATTGTGTATATTTATGTAGAAGTGTACCTATCAATTTCGACGTCAAAAATTTGATTAATGCCATTCAAATAAACGAATGCAAGAACAACACTAATTAGGCCCAAGAATGCCTTAAACAGCAGGGACCATTGAAACAACTGTCTGTTCTCAACCAATACTCTTGCAAATAGACATCTGCTCAATAAAATAAATTAAATTAGAATTCAAAAAAAAAGAGAGAAAGGACATATAAAGTTATATAAAATACTATTTGCAATTGGATCTGAAAGAAAAGGAAGTTAATTTCTTCTATTGCAAATCACTTTGTTAGATTTTTTTTTCTGTATTTAATTAATTGTCTGTAGAAGATTACTTACATGGACGCTGTAAATGGTTGAGTCATTGAATAGGGCCTTATGAACCTCCATAGACTGGATCCAAAACGTAAAACTTTAGCAACCAAATTGGAAGCAGCTGCTTCATCAGGTTGATTTTTGTCGGGAAAATCTAGTTCAGCAGATGCCTAAAACCATTAATGAGAAAAATTTGTAAGTACTTGAATTGAAAGTAATTTGAAGTACAACTAATATTGAAGGTAATCAAATCACATGAGTTCTAACTATAGAGGAATCGTTCGTTTCGTAGATTTGAGTTTTCAATTTGAGCTGAGATATCATATTTTTTTTTTAGAGCTTTTAATTATAGTAAAAAAAGTTAGATGTGATATTTTCTGAAAACTTTTAACTTTAAAAATCTAAGACTAAAAACTCGAGTTAGTGAAATGAACAAGGCATTAGTTAATGAAACATGCTCAAATTAATTAATAGTTATGCAAGCAAGCCTCTCAATAACATCATTCTTAAAAAAGGTGGTTGTAGATATAATCTAACAGTTACTCCACGTCTAATTTTATTATAAGGTGTAGAGTTCGAATCCCCACCACTAAGTTCGAAAAGATATAATATATGTACATATAAAGAAAGCTGACCATAACCTCCTCAAATTATGATCAAGTCTGAATTAATTTTAGATCTATTAGGGTCTAGATAAATTCAATTGCATAAGGATGAAAAATGCATCTAGACAATATTTATTTCCATTGCTAAAAAGTTTCAAGATGCAAAGAAATAAAATAAAGTAGAACACCTTAACGTAATTACGATTGTGTTGGCCGAATAATAAGGGTTTTGACAATCTGCTGTCCCCATAGAGCCCTATTGGCTGGATCAATTTATTGGTGGGCCATTTTGATGAAGGAAAGTTGGATGGTTTGATATCTTTAATCGTAGGCTTAATTGGAATCGACCCCTTGACTTGAAAATTGGAGAACCTAGAACGTTGAGAAATAAAAGGTGATGTTCCAAGGGGAGAGTGAGAGATTGGGAGATCCATAACAAACACTTAGAAGAAAAGGGCAAACGAGAACAAGAAAGTGTTTTAATAACAAATGTTTCAAGAGCTTTTAAACTTATAGGAGCAAGAGCTTTTTGATTCATTAGAAGATAATAATATTTAAACGGATTACGCAGTCAAACGAGATACGTACGAAACGGTCGCTTTCTTTGATGGTTGACTATACTAGGTGCATTCAAGGCCACTGATTCAACTGAAAAAATTCAACAAAAAGTGTGTTATTTATTTATATAGAGACAAAAGCTATTTAGTTTTTAAGTTTGACAACTCTTAGAATTCATATTTTTAAATTATCCCGAAAGTTTGTGTGATTGAATTGTGAAAAAAAAAAATTTTAGAAACAAAGAATAATTAGAGGTTTCATGGAATATCATGCAAGGCGACGGATTCAACTGAAAAGATTCAACAAAAGTTGTTTTTTTTTTTTATGTAGAGACAAAAGCTATTTAGTTATCAAGTTTAGCAACTCTTAGAATTCATATCTTTGCAATATTCAAACGAATTCAACCAAACAATAATAAAGTAAAACATTATTCAAACGAATATTTAGCAACTCTTAGAATTCAACCGACTATTTGGAGTAATTTGTTGGTCGTATTTCCATTCACCCACGGTCCTCACTGAAAAACATTAAATAATAAATGAATTCATTAATAACTAATATAGTTTTCTGTCATCAGCTGCATGTTACTTGCTATAGATTGACGTGGGACTGATAGAAAGAACGAGAGAGATGAGAGAGGATTAAGTCAAGAGATAGAAAAATGTTTAAACACACTACCGGTACTAAGCACCATTATCAATAATAAGTCTTATTTATGAGGTCTCACATAATAATACCCACATTCTATTAATAAATTGTACTTAACACTATTGGTGCCTTATAATAATGCTCTTTTTAAAATTAAATAGGAACTAATAAGCTGTTTTGGAGGGTTTGAATTTAAAAAATAGTTTAAATCTTTATTAGGCTGCATAATAATTTGGATTTAAACTTGAGTTCTCAACTTATTTGAGCCCAAAAATTAAAGGTTTTCTCCAACTTGACACCCCCAAGTTCTGATGGATTCTTAACCCATTTTGCATAGTAATAACCAACCCTAAGGTGTTAAGTGCAAAATAATTGAGTATCACATTGTTTAAATATAAACATTACCAGTTTACTATATACATATAACGATATTATACTATTACACTTAATAAGTTGACCTTATAAGATAGAGGCTTAATGCCTTATAAAGTTCCATTATTCTCTCTCAATTTTATTCTCATCTGTTCTCACACTCTGAAACAACTTTCTCTCACTCACATTTTTTAAAAACTTATAGTTCTAATGATGTAACTAAATATTGGTTTAAATTTTATTTCTTATTTAAACTTTTTTGTTTAAATATTACATTATCAAACATCATTCGAACTACAAAAAATTCACATATAAGATTAAATCTTTTGGTTTGAACTTTAATATTCACAATCGCATTATTTGAACCCGCAAAGCGGACGGGTCCAATAAAGCTGTATTTGGTTGGAAGAAAGGAATGGAATGTTAATAGTGAAAGTGAAGGAAAACGCTTAATGGGGTCGCTCACTGGGAAAGTTTGAAGACATTAGGGATTTAAATGCCACGTAGAAAAGCGGTGGGGACTCATCTGCTAGACTTTAGAGAACATCAGGGACCATAGCTGCAATTTTCCACAATCTTTTTTCATTAATCTCTATTTCAGGAAACCGAAAAAAAACTTCGAATATTTCAGAAGCTTTACCTTATCAATCAGCCATGGCTGCTGCTTCTGCTGCGTGCGTGTATTCTGTTGGGCCACGTTTCTTCCGCCCACGGCGCACTTTAGCAGCAACGGCGTCTCAGTTCGTATCATCCTTCTCATTCTCTCAACTGGGTTTCAATTATCTGCTGCCGCGGACCAGTGTACCCGCGAGTAGAAAGCTTTTTGTGGTTCGAGCCGCTAGAACCGATTCCAAAGGGGTCTCTTTGGGCTTCAGAGCTCCAGACTTTGAGGTTCTTCTTTCACATTTTCTAACGTTTTTCTTAAATATATTTTGGGCGTATTCTAGTCTTTCACAAAATTGATTTTGTTTGAAAAGACTAATAATGTTTTTTATGTTGTTTGGGGATATTTTGGATTGTGTTGATTTAGCTTCCAGAGCCTCTTACTGGGAAAGTTTGGAAATTGACGGATTTTGAATCTTATCCTGCTTTGCTGGTACCTTTTTTTTTTTTTAGGTGTTTATAACTCAATACTTTTTCAATCTTTCATTTTGAATTGTGTGTTCTTATTTTCTTGGTTATCGTCTTATTGTTTATATCTATTTCATTCATTTTTGCTCTAGCGGATAAGTAAAATAACTGGACAAAGAGATGATGATGAAATTTCGCAAAACTGGCGTTACTTGAGCTTTTGTTATTATATATGTCAGTAATGGAGAGAGGAAACATATGTATGCATGTAGATTGGTGTCTACTACAACCAGCAACCATGGCCCATTATGGAACATACTACATGCTTGAGTTGTTATTCTTTTATTGATAAATATTTAAAAATTTTCTACATGTTAAAATATTATATCTACATGTAAAAAGATGGCAGTTCATCGCCACTTAGTATAAAAAAGTTAGGGGCCCTTGCAGTATTTTTTTCTGCATTTATAGCTCCAGTAACTAAGCAGCACAATTTAAAATCTCAAATTTCATGTTGGGATCAAACTACATAAATATATATACACACACACACACACACATATATTATTGGCTGTTTTTACTATTCAAAGTATAAACTACAATCTGACATCATCCCAGATAGCTGACATTTTTATAGCTACTTTCTGCAGACAATTGTTTACCTTAAATCAAAATCTTGCTGAACTTAAATAAATAGCAAAGCTCTCTAAACATGGGAAAGCTGAACCACATTTTTTTTTCCTGTGCAACTGCGTAACAAAATGTATAAATTCTGATCGTCCCTGTTAATAGTCTTTAATTACGTAGCTTGGTAACACAGGTTATGTTCATTTGCAACCATTGCCCGTTTGTTATACACCTGAAGAAAGATATTGTTAAGCTTACAAATTTCTATATGAAGGTAGCATATCCTGTTCCTCTTAGAAACGTTGTTTGTTTTCCTATCTGAAAAAACAAATGAACAATATTGATGCGTTAAACATGATTGTCTTTGCTTCAGAAAGGACTTGCGGTCGTAGCAATTTCTTCAAATTCTGTATCTACGCACCCACAGGTTATTGTAACTCCATAGTTTGGAATTACAGCTGGGTTGAAGCTATTGTTTGATTCTCCAACATGGAACTCTTCCTGACAGGATGGACCAAAATTCATGGCTGAAGAAGCTAGACTTTTCAACTATCCTTTCCCATATCTGTATGATGAGGTATGCTGCTGCTAATATTACCTTTACATGAGTATTCAAATTCTGATGGAACTCTTCCTGACAGGATGGACCACAATAGCAAATGTTGCTTCAATCGTGTACTACTAGAGATTTTCGTGTTAAGTTGAATGTCATGCTTCTTGATTGTGTTCAGACAAAAAGAGGAAATACTTTAATTAGCATGTCAAATTGGGAGCGAAAATGGATCTTTGTTCTGATGTTCTCTTGATCACACCAGCAAGTATATGTATCCTGTTTATGAATTTTTTCATACTATTAGATTTGAGAGTATACGGCCTTTCTTTCACTGAAATGACAATACAACCCCTTATTGCACCTTGTAGTTAAAAAAATTTATGAAGTAGTGACTTTCTTTCTATAATCCCGATTCATAGTTATGTGTTTCTATCACAGACACAAGATGCTGCCAGAGATTTTCGAGCAGTTTGCACACCTGAGTTTTTCCTATTTAAAAAGGTGGAGTTGACCTCGACTTCATGAAAACTGATTTTGCATTAATAAGGCAAGCATGAAGCCAAATTTTGCTCCATGTCTACTGGGTGGTTATTCTTTTTTTCTTCCCTCTGTTTCTTTGATGATTGGTATTGTTGAGCCCTCTATCCTCTTTAAAAATATATGTTTGTTTGTGTATGTATGTCTAGAAACACACATACACACAAACGCACACACACAAACACAAATATGTGCTGCATTTCACATGGATTTATTCATTTTACGTTCATAACATCTATCAGCTTCTAACAGGATGGTCGGAGACCGTTTGAACTGGTGTACCATGGACAATTTGATGATTCAAGGCCAAGTAATAATGTTCCTGTAACTGGGAGGTTTGTCACTGTTGTTTTTCAGAATTTCAGCTAACTCAGGAACATGGTCTTTCCTTTCTGATAGTAATTATCTTAACATTGCTTTGTCTAGGGACTTAAGCCTCGCAATAGATTGTGTTCTAAGTGGTCAACCAGTATCGTCAGTGCAGAAACCAAGGTAGCTTCTTCACTTCTAATGTCCTTGTTTCTTCATCAAACATGCAATGATTCTTCTAGATTAGTCGTAATAACATGTTTAATTTTTCCCCATATTTTGTCGAAAGTGTTGGATGCAGCATAAAGTGGAACCCATAGACAGAGAATGTCTGTAAACGGCGCCACTGACACACTGCGTAAGTAGGATTACTCTCTAAAGGTGTCCCATTTTTTCTTTTGTACCGAGAAGCAACTCCTTTTTTTTTTTTTTTTTTTTTTTTTCCTTCTTAGAACCAGAAAATTCTTTCGTTTGCTGAGCATGTAATATAAGTTCCGTATATGTTATATATCTGACACACGAAACATTATCCAATTTGAGTATCATTATTCAGTTGAGAAGTTTTCTGTAAATGAACACACACACACACATATATATATATTATGCATTTGTTTCTTTTCTTTGGCGAAACCTTTTTTTCCTTCATTCATTCTTCTTTTTATTTTCTCCTCGATGTGGTTATATTGCAAAAAGTCAGTAACTTCTTCTGCTGTAGAAAATTGCTGGTATTGTTGCGGAGCCTAATTATTGCCATGATGGCTTGATTTAAAGTTAGCACGTTGGCATGCTGATTGAACTTTGTCTCGCAATCGTCTTATTTGAGGGTTAACAAGTATAAATCTCGTGTGCTTGTTTGATTGTTTTCTTCGATTTTATTGCTCCCAATATTGAAAACATATTTTATATTTGTGTACATTGTAGACTACTTGGTATACCCCACTTACTGCATCAACTGTCGTCTCTGACTTTGTGGCATCATCTTCACATTCCTAGCTTATTATTTTTTATGTTTTGTCTCGGTATTTATTAGCCTGTCAAAAAATAATTTCTTCCCTTAGGTTTAATTTTAAACAGCTACTATGGCCCGATTTGGTAATGCTTTTTCACCAGCCAGAAGCACTTCTCCATTAAGTTTTGGGTTCCCACAACATAAGCTGAAAGTCGGTGGAAGGCTGCTTCTGCTTATAGCTTATGCGGGAAGCTGTAGGATCCTTTTAATAAATTTTTTTAAAACCCAAATTACCTCTCTTTAATAATCACAATTTCATTAAAAGGCTCTTATTAGACTCACCACCTTTCTCTCTCTTCGTTTCTCTCTCTTCTCTCTCTGTGTTCTCTCTCTTTGAGCTCTCTCTCTCTCTCTCTTTTAAAGTTAAACAAGTATTCCTTAATAACAAACAAAATTGTACATATTTAAATTTCATATCATGTCTATTTTGGTCATCTTAACTACTAATAATAATTTAATTTCACAATTTACTAAATGTTATTACACTGTTTTTGGAACCAGCAACACTTGTATAATTACAGTTTATTAAACACTCAGCTACTTTTTGTAATAGTTCTTTTTTTCAACACAACTAATAGTAATTTTTTTAAAATCTATAGTACTACCAAACTGGCTCTATGCATAGCTCTAAAACAATGAAAAACAAGGTTTCTTTTCCCATTTATTTATTTTACATATTTCGATCTCAGCAACGACCAAATCAAATAATTTGATACTATTTCACACCATGGAACTACAAAAAATATTTGTTCACCCTAAAATGAAATTAGACAGAAACAAACATCCTTGTTGTGTTTTTCCACTACTAAACTACAGTGATTATTTAAGTTTAGAGGAAGATTGAACTTTTAACAGCTGAAAATGACGCTTTTTATTCATGCTTGTATGTGGTACATATGTAGTGTAGGAGTTCTTATTTTTATTATTATTATTATTATTCTTTAAGGCTTAATAAGGAGATTATTGGCGGTGAATAAGTTGAAAGGAAAAGATTAAGAATCCAATGTCAATGTCAAGTTTACAGCTACAGTGATAGATTGCAAAATGATGGGATCCTCAAATTTCATATCAATGTTTGTATGCTTTTTCAGTTAGGTTGTTCCTTTTTTGTTTGTCGGTCAGTTTGCTGATTGGCCCATCTTTTAAAATCTGGATTGAATTATCATTGACGCATAAATGACTCCAGATTTGGTGAGGGTCACTCTTTTGATGTTTGTAGTTTATAGAGTATAGACCATGTTAAATTATAGTTGGTCTTCATTTATTTTTCGTTCATAGGATATTGGTTTTATTCTTTTTTGTTTGTAATTTGGTACTTGTATAGTGAAATGCATATTCTTCTCCATTGTGGTGCTTTCTTGTTCTTGTTAGCTTTTTATTTTACTATAGCGGCTTTCTACTTTCTCTCTTTTGACGCCTATATGATATTTTCCAATAACTCAATTTAATTAAAGGGAACCTCTCCTGTAGGCCAGCCTATCAGTAAGCTCACTTTTTGACCGTTAGATCTGGTCAAAATCACATTAAATTGAACTAGTACGAAAAAAGAACAGTTTCTGATACAGATCTCACAGCTGAAAAATAAAGAATTATCGATAATTCATTTTTTTTAGTCATACTAGAAAAATTGCAAAGGAAAAAGGTTTAAATATATTAGTGTGTTTTGACTCATTTGGGATTAGTTGTTTGATATCTTAACACAGTAGGATTTCTAAGTTAATGGGGCATTTTAAAGTGGTGGGATGTGAATAACTGATCAATATTTCTTAAAAAGAGATCAACAGTTGATCATTCCACCAGTTTTTCTGATACGTGATTTTCCAACTCTCCATCTTACTTGCGTTTATTATTTGGGTTCTTGACCTACGGAAAAGTGTGTGTGGATGTTCGAGTAATGTTGACACACCACAATTGTGATTCTTGATACTGTAAAATTATCGCAGAAGCATTGATAAACTGATGTTGATCATGGATTCAAGTTCTGCACCGTATAATTCTGACCTTTTCTTTTTTTTTTTTTTACAGGTGAAAAGAACACTCTTGAAACTCTTTCTTGTTGCTTATAATTTATATGAGGATTTATGAGAAGGATCACGATTTAGTGGAAGGTTGCTTGCATTCTTAGCCAGTGGTGCTTGATAAGGTATAACACATATATCAGTGGGCCTGTGATTTAAGCGTGACACATGACTAAGACCGCTCTATCTTGTAGGCTTCCAAGAACATGGAACATGAGATCTTATTGTCACGCCCAAAATAATTGTTGTGGAAGGATAGTGGTCCTATTTTCACCTTTATATAATTTTCATGTCATATTCATTAGTCATGCCAAACAAAATTGTTGCTTTTTTTTTATTATTTTTGGTTTTTTGGGTTTGGCTTTTAAAAGCTAACTTGATGGGACTTGAGATTAGTGTCTGTTTCTGTTGGTCCCCCAACTTGATGAGGGAGGTACAATCATATATTAGGTTTCTACCCTTGGTATTGTAATGTGGCCCTATATACACACACCACATTACAATTACAAGTTTACAACTCATTGTGTGTAATGTGGTCCTGTATTTATAGGACTCAAAAGGTTTTAAAATTTGGAAATAGTCAGGTCCTTGGTTTGTTCCTATAGGTCTATGGTTCGAACCACCTCATGGGCACGTACACGACAATAGTCATAGTTTCTTGCTTTCCAAATATTGTAGGGCTTGGAGGAAGGCTTCAATTTTTAACTTAGGCTCACTTTAAGTGGTTCAGGGGATATCTGGGTATCGAAAAAATAGGGAAATTTTAAAAATATCTCTTGAAATGTGGCGCCTTTTATCTTTACCTGTTACTATTAGTCTATATATTTTTACATTTTAAACTAGAATTAAGGGTAGAATCTTTTAAAATGAATACTTTTAATACGTCAGGTACTTAAAAGGTAGAATCTGTAATTTTTTTCAAAAAAATATGAGTCCCTACAGACGACTTTTTAATGCATTTTTCTGGTGTCATAGGCTATTGATGGAAACTGGTTATTGCATTGTGGGAAGAATGAGAAGCAATATGATGATCTTTTTATGGTATTCATGGATGTGTTTTAAAAGCTTCAACCTCACCCGGACCCGGGTTGATTTGTGGTGGTTGTTAAAGATTTGGTATAATGGCTATAAAGAATTTATAGTATGCTTTCTTATTGGAGGAAAGCTATCATATATGGACACAAGTATTGGATTCAATAATACACATACTAGTGAAAATAACTACTAATTTTTAAACAGAAATAATATAAAATAGGCCAATATGAAAAGTTTAAGGAAGTATATAGGTCAACTTTTAGTTATAGAAATTAATGGGTCATAACTTGTTAAGTTATGGTTCATAATCAGATAAATTATGGATAAACTTGTCAAGTTATGGTTCATAACCAGACAAGTTATGGATAAAAATCGTGATTTATGGACAATGACTTGTCAAGTTATGGTTCATAACCAGACAAGTTATGAACAAAAATAGTAATTTAGCCTATTTATTAATTTATGTAAACTATTGACCTATTAATTTTAATTCATTTCAAGTTTTGACCTATTTTTCTCTTTCTCTCTTTTTTAAAGCTATCAAAAACTATCTTCTAATACCATACAAGTCCATATTTCAAATTAGTGTGCGAAAAAAATTAAGGAGCGTAATTTGCTGAAAATTATTGGTCATTTGTCGGCAACGTTACTCGTATACTATAAGTATTCAGTTCACTTACCTCAGTGCCAGTAATGGCAATACCACTATAGTTAATTTATGGTGTTAGTATATTATATTATACTAGTGTTACATAACATAGCAGAGTACTGTAAACGCTGATGATGGTGGTGTGTGGAGTTTTGTTTTAGTGTGTATACTTTTGTATTTATCGTGTTGGTAATAACGGAGGTGGTGGTTCCACTACCTTCCGGGTTTGCTGTTTCGTCAGCTCTAAGTCTTAGCGGGGATGTCCCTCCATTAGATCTGTTTTTATGTGGAGTTAGCGGTGGCCTTTGCGCTACATGTTATGTGTTCTCAATTGATCGGATGCCTCCATTGATTGTAGAGATCTTGTCAAAACAAGCCTTATGTGCTCAATTATCAGTGTACTGAGGAATTTTCCCGTCGTCAGGTTTCGGTACAAGTCTTTCTTCTCGAGTTTCACCAGATTTTACTGATGGAGCCGGTTGAGGTTGAGGGTTTTATCTCATCTAATTAGGAGTCATTTGTATTAATGTATTCAGTTTAATGAAATACCTTTTTCGCTCGAAAAAAGTGGGGGTTATCTGTTTTCCACCTTGGATTTTTCTTTTCATTTTCTTTCCTTTAGAAATTAAATTACCAAACTTGGACTGTTCTACCCTTTGATGGAAGAGGATGACCATGGCTCTCTGGATTGACCCTTAAGGAAACTACCCCAAAATGGAAGAAGCAATAGATTAATCATAGTTAAACAAGGATAATATGGCTATTACATGGTGGCAATTCTATACAAAATATATTTTAAACGAGAACAATAATGAACTCAAAAGGCTGAATCTTAGGAGATCATTGGAGTACAGGTGACTTGGAGAAGCTAGAGCAGTGAAGATCTGCTCTTGAACTTGTCACAATTCCATTCCCAAGAATATTTGGCTTTTGGCAATCCTCATTTACGTGTCTAATTTCCTTGAGCATTAGCGTGACGTCTTTCATCGCGGGTCGTTCCTCCGGCGACGGATTAACACAAAGGAGAGCCACTCCTAACACTTGAAGCATCTCTTGTATTTGTGTGCCGCATTTGAATATCAGTTGCTGATCAAGGACTGATGTTGTGAACTCTCTTTTCCTTTCCCGGAATTCCTTGTTAACCCAACTCACAATGTGGGCCCCATCCGGGATTCTATCATCCGTTGGTTGCTTCCCGGTTAAGACCTCCAAGAGCACCACTCCATAGCTATACACATCACTTTTCTCTGTGATCTTCAAGCTGTATCCATATTCTGCAAAATTATAAGAAGCCATGTTAAGGCTTCTAGTATTTGTTAATCAAAAAACACAAAACATGTAAATGACGTTATAAGGAAAAAAAAAAAAAAAGGTAAAACATGATTCTTTTATTTGTTACCATAAGGAAAACATTATAATTATGTTGGTAGAAAATACTCACCCGGAGCAATGTAGCCATAAGAACCTGCCACTGTTCTTGAGGATCTTGAACACTCCGACGAATTAATGAGCTTTGCAAGGCCAAAATCGGCTAGAACAGCTTCAAATTGTGGTCCTATCAAGATGTTGTTAGCCTTAATGTCACGGTGAACAATTGGAGGAATACAATCATGATGAAGATAAGCTAGGCCATGAGCAGCTCCGAGTAGGATCTTGTATCTCGAATCCCAGTCCAAGAACATCCTCTTTTCATGGAGTAAACTAGCCAAACTCCCATTACTGATGTAATCAAACAATAGCAGCCGAGTTCTCCCATTATTGCAGCATCCCAGTAGCCTCACTATGTTCTTGTGCCTAATCGATCCCAGAGTTCGAACTTCTGCAGAAAACAAGTCTCTCTCTGGAAGCTCACCGTGATTTACAGGCCAGAGCTTCTTCACTGCCACAACCTGCTTTGTCGGGGTCTCAACGCAGTAAACAATGCCCGAACAGCCCTTTCCAACAATATTTGAATCCGAGAGCTTTGTGAGGATGTCGGTAACTGAGAAGTTCAGCTTTTGAAACGGGGTGAAATCCCAATCTAGACCATCTTCGTCGTTTCTCCTTCCTCCACATACTCGGAGGTAAGAAGTTATCCCAACAAGCACAAGCAATATACTCGCAGTTAAACTCAGAAGAATCGAAACGACAAGAGTTCTAGTGGATCTTCTATGCGAATTGTCATTGAAGTGACACTCGTTTCTTCTGACGCAGAGGTTTTGATTGCCGGCAAACGCACTTAAAGGAAGATCTCTGAAGAACTTAGTGTTGGGAAGGAAACCGGAAAGATCATTGTATGAGACATCAAGAGAGACAAGATTGTCCAAACTACTCAGCGGGTTGAGGCTTCCACTCAGCAGATTGTGAGAGAGATCCAAGTTGGCAAGCTTCGAGAGATTTGAGAAACTTTCTGGAATTGGACCTGTGAGAGAATTCCGGCTTAAGTTTAGGAGAATGTCTAGACCTTGCAAGAGACCAATCTCATTCGGGATTGAACCTCTGAGTTTGTTGTTGCTCATATCCAACAACTGCAAATCCTTGCAGAGTCCCAACGATTGCGGAATTTTACTGGTGATCAAGTTTCCGCTGATGATCAGTTTGTTTAGAGATGCAAGCTTGCCTAGATTTTCAGGAATATTGCCAGCTATTTTGTTCATAGAAAGGTCTAAAACGTTAAGAGCAGAGAGGAATTGAAAAGACAATGGAATCTTTCCTTGGAGCTGATTTCTATGCAAGTCAACCATTTCTAGCTGAGTGCAGTTTCCGATTTCTGCAGGAATTTCTCCGGTGAACCGGTTTTCAGATAGTTCAAGAAAGCTCAAGCTACGCAAGTACCCGATTTGCGGTGGAATTTTTCCGCTGAAGTTGTTTGATCCAAGCCTCAAACGTGTTAGCCTTGCACAGTTTCCTATATTTGATGGAAGTCCACCTGAAATCATGTTTGATATTAATAGCAACTGAGTTAAATTCTTGAGGTTGAATAGTGAGTTTGGAACTGGACCGGTGAGGAGATTTCGCGAAAGATCAAGCGCTTGAAGCTTCTTGCAGTTGGCTAGCTCCGCTGGTATGCTTCCGCGGAGCTCGTTCTGCCAAGCAAAGAACAAAGTAAGTTCCTTTAGTTCTCCGATTGCGGGTGGAATCTCACCAGAAAGTTTGTTGTTGTCCAACTCAAGTTGCTTCAAATTGGTAAAATTGCCAATAAATGATGGTATCTCTCCTGAAATCTGGTTTTCAGACAAAAGAAGCTCTTCAAGTGCTACTAAATTTACAAGAGAAACAGGAATCCCTCCACTAAGAAAATTCAATGAGACGTCTATAACCATCAAACCCGAACAGTTTCCAAGAGTTTCTGGTATGACTCCAGTCAGATTGTTCTTCCAAATCAAGACTCTTTTGAGGTTTTTCATTGGACCAAACTCACCAGGAATCTCACCAGAAAGTTGGTTTTCATACAGAAACAAGTTCTCTAAGGCCGAGCAATTACCAATCTCTGGTGGGATATTACCTGTGAGCTTTGCGGTGTAAACCGAAAGAGTCTTGAGATTCGTTAGCTCTCCTAAACTACTCGGAATCTGCCCCGAAACCCCGGTATCTGCAAGCCCCAAAACAAGTAGCTTCTTGCAGTTTGATATCTGCATTGGAATTTCTCCGTTGATCCCTTGATTGCCTCCGGCACGAAAGATTTCCAGCGCTTCCAACCAGCCTATCTCAGCAGGAATCCTTCCAGAAAGTTGGTTGTCAAACAGTTCAAGGTTCTGAATCTTCGTGCAGTTCCCGATTGCCGCTGGAATTTCACCGTTAAGAGAATTCGAATTCAGTGACAAGGATTCTAGTTTCGATAATTTTCCTATGGTCTCCGGGATGTTTCCTGTTAGCGCATTGAAACTGAGGTCTAAGGTTACAAGTGAAGACAGATTTCCAATTGAGCTTGGAATCTCTCCGGTCAGGTTCGCATTTGAGAGCACAAGAGTGGTGAGATGGCTTAAGGAGATAAACTGTGTTGGGAAGATTATAGGAAGGTTGATTGAACTGATTGTGATTTCTGAGACAAATCCATTAGTGGAACATTTGATGTAATCCCATGTGCATGGATTTTTGTGTGTCGGATTCCATGAAGAGAAAAGTGTAGCAGAAGGGGAGGAATTGAAAGTTGAAAGCCATGAAAGTAGGGAGAGACCTTCTTGGTTCAGAGAATATGTGTTTGGGAACTGAGAAAAGGTGAGAAACAAGAGAAGGAAAGTTAGTGCATTGCCTAGCATGGTGAAGTTGGTAATGATGACTCTTCTAAGTACTGTTCTATCTCATCTTATTTTGAGCCAAAAAAAAAAAAAAAGAAAAAAAGTCTTGAGAAGTTTCTCTCTTTGTTGTGTGGCATATTGGGAAGTGAAATTCCCTTTGTTCCACCCAAAATTTGTGAACAAGAAGAATAATATCTGTACTCTTTGAAATTGCTCACAATGATTTCTCCTTTCAGGAATAGAATGTCATGGTTGTACTGAAGTAGATAGGAACCGGAGGACAGGTTGGTTGAGGCATGAAATGCAGAGATGGATAAAAATCTAGAAGTGCGAAGTATTTTTTGGTGTCAAAAAGGAAATAAGTGAAGTTTTCATTATTGGGTTTTATCAAAAAAAGTCATGTCTTCTTTTGAATAATTGGATAAGTTTACCACTGTTCCCACTATTTACTTTCCTTTCTATTGCTTACGTGGGCATTTTCTGTTCCTGGTTTACCTAAATTCTTTCTTTTGCTATATTAGGAAATAACAGTTGATGCTAAAAAAAATTACATCACAGAATGAAAGTAGGACTATACTAAAATTGGAATAAAGTTATTCTCATCCAATTCACAGAATAAATCCATCTCTGCCTGAGTAAGAATGTCAGAAAAAATACATAAAATATAAAGAAAGTCACATTATCAATTGATCAACTTGGATTATCTCCAAGGACAGTCCTCTTTGTTTATTATTAAGTTGCGTTTTTAATGCTTATTTTATTTTGTTTTGACACTTGATTTGTACGAAACAAAGTGCTTGCCAACAATATGTTTAGTTCCCCAAGGCTTTCATATACTGATTGGTGATCTTTCTAATTAATTGCATAACAATCCATCCACATATTGAAAAGGACAAACTAGCCCCAAACCACTAAAGAAATATAGTAAAACATGTGAAGGAAAAAAAAAAAAAAGGTGCACGCTATAACTATTTTGTGTCACAAGTATGGTGAGGTCTCAAAATCATCTCAAATTTGATAAAAAGTTGTTCATGTCATGTGAGTTAGAAGTGATTTTCGGAAGCGACAATGCTGTAGGTCCATGCCTAATTTAGTGAGGACCCTTTTCCTTCCCAATGCATGAACCTCTTGCCACACAACCAATATATATATATATATATATATACATATATATTCATATATATCTATATATATATATATATAGATATATAGATATACATATATAGCAATACAGATTTCACTTCATCATAAAACTCGTGTCTATGAAGAGGAGTTGTACTAGAAGTACAAATTGAAGACCTTTTTTTTTAAGGAGCTAAATTCATTTCTCGATTCTTTTCTTATTAATTGATATAGTATTCACATTTCTTATATTACGCGGGACTCATAAAACTCTTCATTTTATAAGGAAATACAAAATTAAATAGAAAAAAGAATCACTACTTATTCTGTATTTCACTTTCATACGAAATAAACACTGAGTACTCTAAGATTAAAAAAAAAAAAAAGTGAAGAAAGAATGGAATAATCTCCAAGTTTGACACGAAAACTCGGTTTTTATATATTTTATACCTGATAGTCTATTAGCGTACCACACTTTTTATCCCATCTAACACCAATTAGTTATCTTATTTCCTGGTGAAATCAACATTTGATGCCTCATGTTTGACCAAGACCGTTTGCAGGGGAAGGTTTGCACACACACACACACACA